TATTACCCGAATCGGGATGTAGTGTCCAAAAGCTCCCTTTCCCGGGTTTGTCGGGAGTTCGCGGGACTTTGAGAAAACAGTCATTAAAACTAAGCGAATGTCGGATCGAGTTCTGCCATCGCTGTTGATTCTGACGATAATATGGGAACAAATCCATTATGAACTGATAGATCTCACTGAGGGTCAGCATTCGCGAGGGACAGTTCTGGATGGCCATCGTTATGAGCGAGATGTACGAGTAGGGAGGCTTCGCGTGCGTGTAGGAGCGCCGGTACGACTTGTCAGCCCGAGCCCTCTGCAGCAGTGCGTTGGCGCCCGAACTCATCGGTTCCGACGATGAAGACGACCCGAACTCCCGGCTCGACACCAGTCCGCCGTTCATCGAAGTCATGGATCCCATACAAGTCGGTGATGTCATGCCGTTCATGGCGTGCGAGTTCAGTGAGTTCATCGACGACAGCGGTGTGACAGTACTTCCCGCCGCCGGTGACATACATGGGCCGCCTGTGGGACCGCCGCCCGAGCCGGGAATGCCGGACATACCTGTGGGTGTAGGCGCTGTGACACTCGTGCCCATCGGCACCCCAGTCGACGATATCATGTTCGAGGTGAAGGACTGCGCCGGTGAATAGCCACTCATATTCATCTGAGACATGGAGGACATGGTGTACGACATGGAGGGACTCATCGACGAAGTCATGTTCGTGTAGTTCGGGGCAGAGATCATGCAATTGGATGAGTCTTGATATGACTTGTGAGTCAACATTTCAGTCACAAACTGGTAATCAATGTTCAAAACTAATGCATTAATTCACTATTATTTCAAACCAAACACTACGGATCAGTATTTGCAAAATAAAAACAATTTAATTGTTTATTAGTTATTCGCGACTATACTATCGACTCATAGACTCAGAGAATCATTGAATCACTTGTTGTAAGCATTGAGAGAGAAGTGCGAGTCATACGAGACATATGAGGCATTAAACCTCGCATTAAATATACGCGTAAAGCCTGTGCTATCGATGCGCTGCCCTCTCCTAACACATGTGAACTAAGCTGAGGTGGACTGACACACAACTCCTCCTCAATCCACTATCAGATCGATGGCTGTGACGACAACACACCAGCGCTAATGCCAACACCAGCATAGCTGGGGAGTGGTGGAGCGTGTGGTGGGAGGGTATGTGTGGACAATGCCGTACTCTAGAGTATTATTCACTATTTTTTTACTAACTTTTACGACGTTTTGCCTTATTTTCTAACGAAACTAATTTTGCAATAGTTTGCAATACATGTGATACGGGAATACATTGCAATTCACAAGACATACACCTATAACCTAACCGTTCGCTCAGAATATGCTTTCCAATGACTGCGACAATCAGTCGCTATATAAGTACAGTATAGCTATAACTATGATAATGTCTTTGAATCGTATGACTGTACTGTCATTTGGTGATACACTGTATACCGTATATGCAAATGTTGATATTTGTATTTATAAAAGCTTATCACATGTTTTGTAGCCATGATATTTCTTTATAAACGGACTTTCAC